CAAAGGAAAAAAAAAGCCACTAAAACTTCAGAAGACCTACCTGAGTCTTTGGCTTTCTTAGCAGCATCTGTGATATAATCTTGTGACCGTCCATCAGTGAAGACTATGCCCACCTTGGGGACCCCAGGCCTAGCTCCATTGATGAGGGCAAAGGAGCTGTCAACAAGGTACTTCAGAGCTTGGCCTGTCATGGTGCCTTTCTCCATGTAGGACATCTTCTTTACTGCTGCTTTGATGTCCTTCTTGTTCTTGAACTGCCCCAGTGGAAACTCCTGTCTGACAGAACTGGAGTACTGAACTAGGCCAACCTGGGCCTGTTTGTCTGACACCTCCAGAGAGTCCACAATTTGGTTGATGAATTTCTTCACCAGCTCAAAATTCTCAGGTCGAACACTCTTGGAGCCATCGATCAGGAAAACAAGATCCAGAGCAGATCCCAACCCACCACTGCAAGCTGAAGGAAAACAGGAGAAGAAGGCAAAAGAAGTCAGCAACTAAGACCTCAATTATGTAGGAAAATATAACTTTAGTGCTATTTTATTGCTAATGAAATAGGTTTAATCAACCAAAACTCAACAACAGTTCATGTTTTCAAAATGATTCTTGGTTGTGAGTGGATGGTTTCCTCTTCTGCCTGTACTGAACAGAACATCTCTGCCTGGCTCAGTCCTGTCCCCACCAGACAGACCATTCAGCTCACAGCTCAGCTCAGTGCAAATGAAAACCATCACTTACCACTGCAGGTCTTGCCATCAGTGTTGAGTGTGAAACCCTCCTTGCAGGCACACTTGTAGGCTCCAGGGGTGCTGACACAGATCTGCTCACAGTCGTGGTCCCCAGTGGCACACAGGTCAGACACCACTGTAAACAAAGGTGTGGATTAAACTCAGAGACTGAGCCAAAGTTTCTCCACCCAGACCCAAAGTGAGATACTTGTCCCATAACTAAATCCACTCTGCTGCAAGACAAAGAGCAGAGGTCATTGCTCTTGAACAGTGACTGAGGTCCAAGAGGAAGGAGAAACTTTCACAAGTCTCCTGACTCCAAGACCAGAAATAGTCTCCACATTAAGGGCAAAACCCACCTATGTGTTGAGTATATCACAATACACTTCACCCTCCAAAGCTCCTGGATGAGATTTGCTTTCCAACAGACCATCAGGACTGGCCAATACCCATTTTTCCAGCTCTAGTGCAATTATGATCAGTGACTTCAGCCCCATTGTCTTTCCTGGATGGGATTCATGTGTGAACACACTTGGAATACACTCCAGAGCTCCCCTCACAGTGCAGCCTTCAAATCCACTCTCTACAAACATTCCTGCCTGCTGATCCCATCCAGGATCTGACTCCTGAGCCACTGAGCAAACAGGAGCTGAATTGTAGCACACTGAGCCAGCAGAGTTGGGTGACTGACAACACCATCACAGCTACAGCAAAGAGGATGGAAAACAAACTGGAATGTAAACAGATCTGGTTGAAGCAAATCCATTTACAAACATCAGGGAAATGTGTGCAGAAATCCAAGCACTGAGTTCTGTCAGACCAATGGGAAGTGGTGCAGAGTCTTCCAGAGTTAAGGGGTTTGTGATGTCAAGTCATTTGTGTTCTGCTCTGCATGGATTTTCACAGTTTCATAGGATGTTAAGGGATTGGAATGGAGCTTAGAGATCATCCAGCCCCAACCCCTGCCCTGGGCAGGGACACCTCCCACCAGAGCAGGTTGCTCAAGGCTTTAGCCAACCTGCCCATGAACACTGCCAGGGTTGGGGCAGCCACAGCCTCCCTGGGCAACCCGGGCCAATGTCTCACCACCCTCACAGGAAAGAATTCCTTCCTAAGATCTAACCTAAATTTCCCTCTTTCCATTTCTCCCCATTGCTCCTTGTCCTGTCCCTGCAGCTCCTAACACAGAGTTCCTCTGCAGCTTCCCTGGAGCCCCTTCAGCTCCTGGCAGGTTGTTCTGAGCTCTCCACACAACCTTCTCTTCTCCAGGCTGAACAGCTCCAACTCTCTCAGCCTGTGGGGAAGGTGCTCCAGTACAGGTGGAGATGTGTGCATGGAAAATGTGGGAGTGGGAGAGCTGGGTCAGGTCACAGAGGGACTAAGCTGTGACTCTCTGGATTTTGTACTTCTTCAGGCCTTCCCACTTCCCATGTCTCATACTGTGGCAGCACTGGTAGATCTTCCCAGCCTACATGCAGTTCATATCATTAGGAATATCCCTCACCATGCAGCTGGATGCAACTCTGAGCTCTCAGACTCTTGGAAGCCTACAGAGATCTTGTTAGCCTAACCCATGGTTGGGTCACAAGGCTCTCCCTTTTTTTTCCCATAAGTTTGTGTTTTTCCATGCCCTATGGAAGCAGCTTGGGCAGAGCTCAGAGTTGTCCTTGCTGTCAGTCCCCACACACTGTGCTGTGCCTGAGCAGGTGGTGGTTGGGTTCATCTCCAGGGCTGGTTTGGGGCAGTTGCTGCAGAGCATGATAAGAGCTGACTTGGCAGTTCCTATGGAGCTGTTCTCTGCTCCCTGCCATAATCCTTCTTGCAGTGCTTTCCTTGGATGCATCCCTGAGGGGTTTTACCATGGGGAGAGCTTTGTCAGCTGCATGTTATGAATTTGGAAATCAAGGCATGGAAGGACTTTTGCCTCTTTATCTTTTGGAGTGACATCAATGCCAGAGCTTCAAAACACTCTGTCAGGCCTCTCTGTCTCTGGCTGACTCCAATTCCAGGGCAGCCAACACAAACTCCCACAAATATTCCTGGCTGGGATTCCACCTTCTCCAATTTGTCTCCATCCTCCCATTTGTCTGAAGTATTTGCTTGCTCTTTCATGAGCTTCTGCTGCAGTAACACCTAATAATTCATGACTCACTTTATATTATCACCTGATTCTCATACATGACTCACTTTAGATTCACAATTCTCCTCCTTTCTACAGAGGAGGAAATATCCCTTGACAAAAAGTTGTTTCACCTTCAGCATTTGCAGCCTGAAAGTTGAAGCAGGAAATTTTCCATCTTTTGGAGGAATTGGTCTCAGGGAGTTTTGCAGGTCCAGCTGTGTGTGTGTGTGTTTGCAATGCTGTGCCAGAGGCACTGGGATGCATCACACCTTCTGAGAGGTGTTGCCACACACCTCTGCATCCAAGGGATGGAAGTGCAAAGCCCCCAGACCTCTCCTGCTGACATAACATGGATATTTATAGGCCACTTCCTCCAGCCTTGTGGGTACATTTGAAAGCAATAAAGTCTTCTCAACCCATTCAGCAGCTCAAGGAGGAGTGAATATGTGTGTAGCATAGTCAGGCTCCTTTGATATGCTGTGCAGAAAGCAGTTAAATCCTGCAGCAGCCAGGAGAGATTCCTCTTTCCCAAGGCTTCCAAAACCAACAGCATAGTCAGGCAAAGGCAGCTCATGAAACCATCCCTGGGAATTCAGGACACAACACTGGTGGGGGAAATTACAAGCCAAATGCTCTGAACTATGCAGAAAGGCTTGAACTTAAGGGCAATGATTTTAGCTGTATAAAAATCAGGTTTTTCCATGTTGTTTTTCAGGGCCTCAAGGAGTACCAGGGTCATGTTGACAAACTCTTCTGTGCCACTGAAAGCTGGAGACTTCTTTAACTAAACCTGAAATTCCCTGAACAAAACCTGTAGTTCTTGAAAGGCAACTTGAAAGAGCATCTGTGCTCCACACAGCTCCCTGCTCCTGCAGACCCAAGTATCATGGAACCAGAGTATGTTAAGGGGTTGGAATGGACCTTAGAGATCATCTAGTCCCAATCTCCTGCCCTGGGCAGGGACAAATTCTCCAAGTCCCTGTATTTGCCTTGGAACAAAGGAGCAGGTGGATGAAGGATGATCACATGTACAACTTCCATGTGAAAAGACTGGAGAGGGACTTTGGAAAAGGGCATGGAGTGATAGGACAAGAGGGGATGGCCTTAAGCAGAAGGAAGACAGGGGTAGTTTGTATATTGGGAAGAAATTGCTCCCTGTGAGGGTGCTGAGACACTGGCACAGGTTGCCCAGAGAAGCTGTGGCTGCTTCATCCCTGGGAGTTTTCCAGGCCAGGTTGGATGGGGCTTGGAGCAACTTGGGCTAGTGGAAGGTGTCCCTGCCTATGGGACATCTTTCCTAGATCATCTTTCAAGTCCCTTCCAACCCAAACCATTCTATGACCCTATGACAATCTTGCTGGCAGCTCCTTACAGCTCTTGGCTAGGAGCTCAAGGCTTGTGGCAAGGACTTACCACAAAAAGCTTCTTGAAACTTGTGTGTCAGCTTCTCTATCACACTGTAGCTCTCCACGTAGTCCACATGCTCATCCAGAGGTTCACTGGCGATTTGCCTCAGCGTGTGCATGTCCACGCGGCCAACGCCGATGGCAAAGATCTCGATGCCAGCAGCTCTGGCCCTGGCTGAGACATCCTGCACCCCATCCTGGGGACGTCCATCCGTCACCACGATCGCCACCTGCACACACAAGGGCAGAGGAAGGGGTGTGTTGGATGTGTGCTTTGGGAGCAGCCCTAGGAGAAGGACTTGGAGGTTATGGTGGATGAAAAACTCCCCATGAGCTGCAGTGTGAGCTCAGAGCCCAGAAACTACCCCAGGCCTGGGCTGCAAACAGAGGAGTGTGGCAGGC